ATCTGAACAACAGAATTTCAGAACTGAGAGGGACCTTCATGGAGGACTTGAGGAAAAGGACTTGTCTAAGGTTACTTGACTAGTCAATTGTAAAGCCAGGACAAGAACCCAAGTCTCCTGTCTTTCATCTATGTACATTAACAGCTGTAAGATGTCTAACAAAGAGACTGTTACGCAGAAAGTACTCAATAAGCGAAAAAGTTTGTCATTGTTGTCATAATTATTATGCATTTTCCTTTGTAACCCACTACAGTGTTTCATTTTGTGGCCAAATAAGGAAGTACCCTGCAACAACATTTTAAAATCATCAGAAAGTTGGGGAAGTGCAAGGTACAAACTATTGGGTGTAAGATAGGCTCAAGGATGTATTGTACAACACAGGGAATATAGCTAATATTTTGTAATAACCGTAAATGGAAAGTAACCTTTGAAAACTGTATATGGGAATTCCCTGGTGGTCCAGTGTGTAGGACTCATGCTTTCACTGCCAAGGGCATGGGTTCAATCCCTGGTCTGGGAACTAAGATCCCACAAGTTGTGTGGCATGGCCATAAAAACAAAAATTAAAATGAAAAGCTATAAAAATTACTTTTAAAAATAAAATAAAATAATCAAAAAGCTAACCAGGAAGTGAGTAAGGAATTATCTGGCCAAGAAGCAGAAGGGGATAGTGTCTATACATTCAGAGTGCTTTTGTCCTGGGGGGCATTTTTAGATTCAAAAGAGATGGCTGAGAGTTTTAACTCCACTTTTGACATCTAGGGGAACAAAATATGGAGTCTAGGACCTGTCAAAAGAATAATTCTGAACCTGTCAAAAGTGGTGATTTTGGTAAACCATATTTTGGGCTGGTCTTCACAAGGACAGTACCCTGAGAAGTAAGGGCAAACCAAACTAAAGCAATCTCCCCAAGATTCCCAATCATCTGGGTTTGTTGGTATCACCAGGTGCATGCCAGAAGAAAATGAAAATCCTCTATGGAAAAAAAATCATCATATGTCCCACATTATTTCTTCAAGTGATTCAGTTATGATATCCAGAGAGATAAAACCTAAGATCGACAGTTTTGGCAAAAAAAAAAAAAAAAAAAAAAGATGTCATTAAAATGATCCTAACAGATTTTAAAAAGAATGAAATAGAAATTTTAGAACCTAAAATTTAAAAAAAAAGCTAAAAAACAAAATTAACAGCTCAACAGATGAATCTAACACTATAGGAGAAAGAATTAGTAATCCAGAAAATAAACCAGAAAAAAAGCTATTCAAAATGAAGCATGGGGGGCTTCCCTGGTGGCACAGTGTTTAAGAGTCCGCCTGCCGATGCAGGGGGACACAGGTTTGTGCCCCGGTCCGGGGAGATCCCACATGCCGCGGAGCGGCTGGGCCCGTGAGCCATGGCCGCTGAGCTTGCGCGTCCGGAGCCTGTGCTCCGCAACGGGAGAGGCCACAGCAGTGAGAGGCCCGCGTACCGCAAAAAAAAAAAAAGAAGCATGGGGGAGATAAAGGCATGGAAAATTAAAAAGAGAAGGTAAGAGAAATAGTGGATAGAAAAGATCTAACAAACATTTCATTGGAATTATAGGAGAGAAGAAAGAGTGGGGCAGAAGCAATATTTGAAGAGATAGTGTCTGAGAATTTTCCAGAACTCATGAAAGGCACCAATCAATATATTCAAGAGGCCCAATGAATTCCAAGCATCATAAATAAAAAGAAATCCACTTCCAATAACTTTAAATCTCATATTTAAAGCATTTGTTATCATAAATCCCACTTATTCATTCATTAAAAAAAGAAAGAAAGAAAGAAAGAAATACACTTCCAGACATACACAGTAAAAGAGCAGAAAACCAAAGTGTAAGAGAAAAAAATCTTAAAAGCAGTCAGAGGGGGAAGTCTCCAATGACCTTCAAAAAAACAGTCATGCTAACAGCTGACTTTTCGCAGGTAGCAATAGAAGTCAGAGTCTTGGAGTGATTTTTAAGTGTACTGAAAGAACAAAAACTGCTTTTACCCCGCTTCTCCTCTGACTCTTGCCTTGCTCTTTCACTTATAGGACTCTTGTGATTCCTTTGGACCCACCAGGAAATCCAGGATAATCTCCCTATCTCAAGATCCCTAACTTAATCATATCTGCAAAGTCTGTTTTAGAATGTAAGTAACATATTCACAGATTCCAGGGATTGGGATGTAGAACTCTATGATGGGCCATTATTGCACCTACCACATTACCAATCTAAAAAATGCTCTTGCCCTTTATCATGAGTGGCTCTTTTTTTCTAGGAAGCCCCATAGAAAAAAGGAAATCAGTGTTTCCAAGAAGCAGAAGCAGATAGGCATTTTTCATACTATGTCATTTAAACCACTATCAACCTTCAACCTTGGTGAGGTAAATATTATTACCCCAATTTTAAAGATTCTGAAATTGAACATGAGAGAGGATGGGTAACTTGAAGGAGGTCATCTAGCTTAAAGTGTCTGACTAGAAATTTGTATCCAGATCACCAGACTGGTCTCTAAGACTCCAGCCAAGCTTTTCTACCATATTAAGCACAGTTATCACTTGGCTTATCATTGTATGAATAATTTCTGGGCAGTATGTATCTTATGAAACACACTCTAACTTGGTGGGTTTTTAAAAAGGTGAAAAAGAAATAAAGAATGGGAGAAGGTTTCAAACTGGAGAGACACCTTTGAATAGAGTGTTGTAGTCCCCACTTACCTGAGGGGATATGTTCCAAGACCCCAGTGGATGCCTGAAACTGCAGATAGTACTGACCCCTACGTATACAATGTTTTTTCCTGGACTAATAGGTATTAACACACATATGTGGAATTTAGAGAAATGGTATAGATAAACCTATTTACAAAGCGGAAATAGACACAGACGCAGAGGACAAACGTACGGACACCAAGGGGGGAGGGGTGGTTGGATGGATTGGGAGATTCGGATTGACGTATGTACACTACTATGTGTGAAGTAGATGGCTGGTGAGTGCCTACTGTACAGCACAGGGGGAAAAAGAGGTACAATCTGTCTGCAGGACATATAGTAAGTTAACCTTAAAAATGCATTCCAATATACTTTAGATGCAGACAAATACTGTTTGATTCCACTTATACGAGGTACCTAGAATAGTCAAATTCATAGAGTCAGAAACTGCATTGGTAGATGCCAGGGGGTAGGGGTGTGGGGAGGGGGAATGGGGAGTTAGTGTTTAAAGGGGACAGAGTTTCAGTTTAGGAAGGTGAAAAATTCGGGAGATGGATGATGGTGAGAATTGCACAACAATTTGAGTGCTACTGAACTGTACAGTTAAATATGGTTAAAATGGTATGTTTTATATTATGTGACTTTTACCACAATAAAAAAAATTTTTAAAAAAAGTGCTAGACAAAAAGATGATTCATTTCCAGGGCTGGTTGGAGTGGGATGGCTAAAGATTACTTGACACTACTAAGAACGGTAGCAACTTAAAACTTAGAAATTGTCTATTTCCAGAATTTTCCATTTAACATTTTTGGATTGCAGTTGACCCCAGGTAACTGAAAACCTCTTTAAGGGAGGACTGCTATATTGGTGGCAAAAGCTTTCTTTATTAACCACGTGACTCCGGTTAAACCACTTTGGTTCTTTTTTTATTTTATTTATTTATTATTATTATTTTGCGGTACGCGGGCCTCTCACTGTTATGGCCTCTCCCGTTGCGGAGCACAGGCTCTGGACGCGCAGGCTCAGCGGCCATGGCTCACGTGCCTAGTCGCTCCGCGGCATGTGGGATCTTCCCGGACCGGGGCACGAACCCGTGTCCCCTGCATCGGCAGGCGGACTCTCAACCACTGCGCCACCAGGCAAGCCCCGGTTCTTTTTTTAAAAAATAAATTTATTTATTTGATTTATTTCTTTTTGGCTGCGTTGGGTCTTCGTTGCTGTGCACGGGTTTTCTCTACTTGCGAAGAGCAGGGCTACTTTTTGTCGCGGTACTCGGGCTTCTTGCGGTGGCGGAGCACAGACTCTAGGCACACTGGCCTCAGTAGTTGTGGCACACGGGCTCAGTCGTTGCGGCTCACAGGCTCTAGAGCGCAGGCTCAGTAGTTGTGGCGCACGGGCGTAATTGCTCCGCAGCATGTGGGATTTTCCCGGACCAGGGCTCCAACCCAGCTCCCCTGCATTGGCAGGCGGATACCCAACCACCATGCCACTAGGAAAAACCGATTCTTTAGGTCTCTGTTTCCTTTCTCAACTGTAAAAGATGTTTGGATTTAATGACACCTTTTCCAGTTTTCTGACATTCTATGAGTCTAAGAGTGAAGCCCTTGCCTGAAGATACCTCCACCTTATAGGGTGGGTCCAAGAGGGACCGCATTCAAGTTAGAGGCATTTAAACTATCCCAGAGAAAACCAACTGCAGCTCAAAGGAGGAAACAAATGAAGAGAGATGAAAGGTTGGGGGTGGGGGGAGGTGGGACGCGGAGGAGAGGAAAGAAGACGATGCCGATGATAGAGATGGAACGATAAACAGCATGCAAATGACACAAGTAGCATGCAAATAACTAAAGATAATCATCAACGGGTAACTAGCGTTTACAAGGCAAACGAAATTCTGCTGGTCTCTGAGGTTGCAGGGGTGAGACATCCTCTCTGGGCGCTCACAGAAAGCGGAGCTACACTTTGTATTTCATCGTGACATAAAACTTCCACCTCTCTAAAAGCCCTGGCTGTGAGAAATGTAAGAAAAACCGAGAAATGAAAATATCACAAAACACTTGAGTCTGCCAGGGACAACGTGAAACCACAGTCTCTGGAAATGACTGGGACCACCCCCGCCCCGCCCCGCCCCGCCCCGCCCCGCCCCTCAAGCCTAATCCAGACACACAAAAGAAACCGCTTGTGCCCTTCGAGGTGCAGTTTTGATTCTCCGCCTGCGGAACTGGCGGCAGCGGAGCAGACGCACGCCCCCGGCCGCCCCCGCCTCAGCCCTCGGAAGTGACGCAGCGCGCCCCGCCCCCGGCGCTAGATCCGCTGCTGCTGCCGCGGCGGGCGGACCTGCAGGAGGTAGCGGCGGCGGCGGCCGAGGCCGAGGGAAGATGGCGGACGGTGTGGACCACATAGACATTTACGCGGATGTGGGCGAAGAGTTCAACCAGGTACGTGAGGGCCCTGGGCCCACGCCGCCGAAGTAGGTGGTGCTGCGGCCGGGATGCGGACCCGGGGCCCACCGTGGGCCGCGAGCCGCCGCGGCTGCAGCCCGTGCGCCCTTGGCGCTTGTGGGCCGCGCCGCCCGACCCAGGCGCGGCGCTCCCCTCACCCCTCGTTCTAGCACGTCGTCTTGCGGGCGGCAGGCGCCGCCACCCGCCGCGGGTCCCCGAGCGCGAACGCGGGCCGCCGTGCAGCCGCCGCCGACCCCTCCCTCTCCTCTGCCTCGCTCCCCATTGTTGGCGGCGGCTGGCGGGCGCTTCCCGCCGTGTTAGGCCTGGGCGGAGGGCGGCTTGTGCGCGGGGGGAGAACCGGCCGCCCCTGCGCCCCCTCCCCGGCCGCCGGGGCGAGGAGGAAGCCTGGCGGGGCGCGCGCCGGCCGCCGTCTCGCCCCCGGCCCTGCCGCTCGGGCTCCGATTCTTCCGGTCGCTCCATTTTGTCTCTGTCGGCGCACGGTCGCCTCATGGAAGGCCGCATTCACGGCCCTTTGTATCCCGCGCGCTCTGCTTCCTGCGCTCCCCTGCTCGTGTTTGCGACAGGTTTCGGCGTGGCGCCTTCTTCCTCCTCCCCTCACACTCCGGGAAGGCGGCTTCGTGGCGGGCAAGTTTGCAACAAGTCCTTTGACTTTCGGACCCATGGCTCGTGTTTAAAAAGTCGGTTCGCTGCCTCCCTGCCTCGTTGGCCCAGGGCTTGTAGTGCCTTTGAGGCCCAGTCGTTCGTGCTTGGCCTTTGTGATGAAAATACCTGTGAAGATAGGTGGCCCGGGCGAAAAGGAAGACTTGGACGCCCGAGGGCTGGATGGAACAAAAAAAGGCGGTAGCTCACCAAGAGATCAGAGGTGTGATGAAAGAATCTCACCCGAAATTCACATGGTGTTGGTTTTAAAATAAAGGATTGTAGCTATGACCCGATTTCCGAAAGCAAAATGTTTACTGTCCTCCGAGGGGTTTTGAAAGGCCGGAGAAAGTGAGAATGCAAGGTTTTTCCGGTATCTCACTGGCCACAGTAGCCTAGAAGGACTAGCTGTGGAGCTATGATGTCTGATGTTGGGCATCCTTGCGAAGGGTTGTTACTAGAGTAGTGACGTTTAAGCTGTAAGCCTACTGCTCACATCTCTACTCCCTTTTATGTAGTAACACATTTAAAAAATTAAATTGTGCGTAATTGCAGTGCACCTAATCGCTTTATCTCTTATATTTTCCAGGTCCATATGAGAAGCTTAGTAAAATTCTGGTTAATGTGTTTTTGTGGGTTTTTCCCCCTTCCATTAAGGATCTTATTTGTGACTAGGGGCTAAAGATTTTATTTTAAATAGGGAAAGCTAGAAATCTTTTCTGGTTTTTTTGAGAGATGATTGTGCCCCTGGTTTAAATATTAGAAAAAAAATGCAATTAGCTTTAAATGTTTCCTACTCCGTTAAAGACTGAATATTTAAATGTAACCCACTGTAATCAAACATTAAGTTTGAAATTTTTTTCTTTTTTGTTGTGTTTATATTTTGGATATATGATGCCTGAGTTGTGTCAGTGACAGTTTAGAAAATTACCTTGAGTGCTAAACAGAGTCAGATTCTAACCCTTTTTTAAGGTCAGTAGACGAAGACTTCTCAGGAAATTTCTTTTCCTTTTATTTATCAAATAAGTGTAACATTCCATCGAAAAGGGGTCCATATCTGGAAGCAAAGGAAGAGTTAAATGTTCAAGACAGTCTTCATTAGCTTTCTTACAAGAAAATATATGTGCTTTGTCTTTCTACCCACAATAAAGGAAGAATTGGGCTACAATTTTAGAAGTTGAGCTTTCTTCAGAACCTTTTAATTAAATATTTTTTAGGCTTTTGCCTGTTTAATTTGGGATGGGCATTTCTCTAACCTGTATAGCTGGATGTAGTGATACTTGCTTATCCCTGTGCAGTAACTAGTGCTGACTGAGCAGGAGGTAAGAAGAGGTTAAAATTCTGTGGCCCTGATGAGGAACTGCTTTAAAGGGTTCTTTTAAAAATGTAACTTTTTGTTGATTTGTACATATAGTATTATATTTCACACATAGTTGCATGATTTTTACTAGAAAGATATTTATACTTTTCAATCGGTTAATGGGATTAAAGAGACTTTGTTTTTGTTATTATTTTGCATATCACTGGCCTTTGTAATCTGCTTGCTGTGGTAATTCCTGTTCAAAATATGGCCACATAAGGATAGTTGGTGGATTTTAAGGTTCATCCTTCATTTTTAATAATGTTACTATCATTGAAATATTTATCTGAAATTTTATCAGAATTAGAGGCAACTACAAAATTATTATTGATTGTTTTATTTTGCACTCTTACTTTGCACTGACATTACTTCTGCTGGTTGCTGTAGTAAACTATGACTTTTTTTTGGCTGTGTTGGGTCTTCGTTGCTGCACACAGGCTTTCTCTAGTTACGGTGAGCGTGGCTTCTCTTGTTGCGGAGCACAGGCTCTAGAGCGCAGGCTCAGTAGTTGTGGCGCACGGGCATAGCTGCTCCGTGGCATGTGGGATCTTCCTGGACCAGGGCTCAATCCCGTGTCCCCTGCACTGGCAGGCGGATTCTTAACCACTGCGCCACCAGGGAAGTCCCAACTATGACTCTTTATTTTGTTGTAGTTGAGTAAAATGTTTTGCTAAGTATAACGGGTCATGACTTTGGCTTCTAAACTGCTGTAAACATTTGAAAAAAATCTTTGTTCTTCAATGTGAGCTGTAGTTTTAATTGCACAGTATGCTTTGAAATTCTTTGTAATTCATGTATTTTTCATTTTTTTAAATTTTAAATGGTCATACTTTTATGATGCTTTTTTTTCCATGTGTGTTTTGGTAAAGAACAGTATAATAAACCTATTTCAAAATATGAGATATTCTGCTGTCTTAGAAGAAACTTTCATTTGGATATGGTGTGAGAAAAAGTTAGTAAAACTATAGAATAGTTCCTTTCTTCACCAGATGAATTAAGAATGGAGAATGAAGAATGAAATTGGAGAAAGGGAGAAGGCACAAGGGACTCAACTATTCCTTATAGCTGCTCTTTTAGTTCTTAAGTTGAAGGTCTTTGCATGTAACCAACCAAATTGAGAACAGTTGCTCCAGTGGAAGAATTTGAACTTCCAAACCTCTACCTTGGATTTGGAGTTGAGAAGAAAGTGGATGGTTTCAGACTCTATAGTGTGTATCAATTCAGTTTGAACTGGGATTTGTACTTGAAGGTAGTAGTTACTAGCCTGATATTTAATAATTATAGATTTTTATTTTGACCAAAACTAAATTAAATTTTTTAACTCAATTGTTTAATATATCTTGAGTATTTGTTACATGCCAACAAGGAAGGATACAAAGTTTAGATAGTCTGTCTTTAGAGTGCACTGTAGTGGGATTGGGAGACACATACATAAATATAACACTAACAGGTCATGTGTTACAGAAACCACTCCTTTATGTGTATATTTTATTTTATTTTTTTATGTGTATCTTTATCTGTAGAATTTTTGTTGGCAGAGGAGAGGAAAGTCAGATTCTGTGAACTTCAGGAAAGCTTATGCTGGGTGCGTTGAAATAGTGTGTATTTTGCTTGTTTGGGGAGTAAAAGCTCTTAATGTGGCATTTAGTTATTGATGTACCTGGTGGTAGGTCACTGATAGCAGTGCTCACTTAGTAATCTGACCATCCAACTTTAAAATGAAAATGTATATAGGTAGTGGGAAAAAATTCATTTGGAAGCTAGAGACCTAGACATGCTTATAACTCTACTTGCCTTTATATCATGAGTCGTTATAGTTTATATTTAGTTATTGTGTATCTACTATAGCCAATGTCTAGCTAATTTTGGAAAATAAGTTTATTAGGCAAATATCAGTGAAATCTTATTTCTGATAAATTTATGTTGAATAGAGAACCCTCTAAGATAAGGCTTGTAAGGTGGAAACTGAGGTAGGTAGAGATTGATTCAGAAACTTGGATAGAAGAAATGTTTAGGGGAGCTGGAACTCTTCTTACTCAGTTTTATTATTTATGAGTAGTTCATTCAGTTGCCCACTTTGTGGTTTATGTGGCATATTTTTAGTACCAAGTTGGCTTCCTTACCATTAGTTGAGCTTTTTACAGGGATTACAAACTAATTTTAATATCTACTTGAAACATAGACAGAATCAGAAAATGAAGTATTTTAAAAAGATAAATATGTATTAGATTATTTGCTGTTGGATTTTATGTGCTGGTATATTATATTCTCTTCCATGGTATAGAATACATTTTGTAAATGCAAAATAAAACCTTTCCCCCTGCTATATTTCTCTAAATGGAAATGACTATTAAATTTCCTTTTTTTTTTTTTTTACTACGAAGACTTTGAACAAGTGGCCTTTACTGTGCCATTAGTGGTAGTATCATAGAATGCAGGAGTGGTATTAATACAAATTTAGGACCACCAAAAGCAGTCTTGGGCCTATCAGGGAGAGTGAAAATATAGTACAACTATACCACAGTCATCCCAATAATGGTATACAGTATATCTGTGACATGAAAATTTTATGGGAGGTGATTAGGGAAAGTATGTCTAAAAAATAATTATTTGGAGGGAGGGGTTAATGATAATGAAAAAAAGGTTGAGAAACACTGCTTTTAAAAGGAGCTAATTGAATTTTGGTTATTTTACTATCCATCTTAATTTAAGTGTTTTCTCTGGGCAACAGCTACTCATATATCATGAGGAACATAATCTTGGAGTGTACAATCTTGAAAGGATACCTTGCCTTTAAAATGATTATAGTAATTAGAATGTAGGGAATGAAATAACTTAGTGGATTTTTTAACAAACCCTAAGAGCTGTTGCCTACTGGAATTTATATATAATGTACATACAGCTCTATTGGTGATTAGCTGCTATGAAAAGTAGATAGTTACAATTGGGCAGTATTTGGTATCTAAAATAATTAGAGGGGTAATGTTGATTATTTTTTGTTGTTGTTGTTTTTGAATGCCATTAAAATTTCCTAATGGTAATAATCAAAAGACTACATAGTAGAACTTGACACTGTGGGCTATCTCTCTTTGACAAAGTTTGTCCAATAGACTTTCAGAGCTCACCTTCTTTATTTCTGACCCGTGATATACATTTTCCATAATGTCTGAATGTGCATGTTTTCCCCCTTTTTAGAGTGGGAACAGAAAGTAGGATGTGTTCTGTGTGTGTATATATATATTTTTTTTTTCCTTAATCTGGAGGATAGGTGTGATATGCTAAAGCTGAAAAGGAAGATTACTGATACTACAGAAGAGTATGTGTTTTGAGTTGCATTTTAGTAATGGTGGCAAATGTATTCAGATTCATTAATATTTTTTCACCAAGTCCAAATGCATACCATTGGGGTAGAAGTACAGGCTGTGGCCTTGGAACTGAGCGAAGCTAACTAGTCCACATGGAGATCAAACCCCAGGACCATGGTCTCAATTAGCATCATACTTCAACCAATTGGAAGCAGTCCAGCTACCAGACAAAATGGCTGATCCTAAATATTGGTAGAATCATATCAGTATGGAAAATTGGTTGGTGTCAACATAGGAATTCGTGGATGGACAAAAATAGTAAGTCATGGTGATTCACCAGGTTAGTGTAGCTGCAATTATGCTTGTAAATGATGTCTACTTATGTGAACATTTTCCTAGATTTACAACTGATGAAAAATCATAATGTGTTAACCTGTTTCATGAAAGTGTAAATCTAAATACTTTTATTTTAGTTCTGCTATTAATAACCCTTGCATTCTCTTTTACTCTCCCTCAGACCATATAGTGTGATTATAGTCTCTGCTGAGGAGGATGGAAACACAACTCCTTTTGAATAATAGTAATAATAATTCTACTTGATGTACAGAACTGGATTGCCAAAGAGTCTAAAGTGCCCACTACCCCTTGCGGGAAGGTTTTTAGTATCTTAAGTGTGTGGAATCACTGCTGCAGCCATGCCACCTGAAGCTTCAGCTACACTGAAACTTCATAACAAAACTCACCCTTCTTTTTTCTAATTTTTGCTATCACTGCGATTTGATCATGTTGGTTGGTTTTTAAAAACTCAGTTCTCAAAGGTTATTTTGGTATTGTTGTACAAACAAAATTATGGCATTATTCAGCGACTTGTGGTCTTAGTTTCTGCCCATTGCTAATGATGGTTTTGTTCTCTGACTTACCTTGAGATTTTTGTTCCTTGTTAAATGTTACAGACATTCAACCTGGTTAACAATGTTATGTAGAGATTCTGTTACATAATCAGTAAATTGGATAACTTCGTTATGCAGAAGGTTACCTGAAATGACTTTACAAATTTCAGGTCCCTTTGGCTATGCGTTATAAGTGGTATTTCCCCTTCTAGATTTTTTTCTTCTTTTTCTGTTTCTTTTTTAAAAAATCTTTTTCTGGCTCCCTTCTGAATAACAAAACGACAGCCATGTTCCCTTGGGACCTATAATAAAAATATTTTGTTGATCTGTTCACAGTCATCACAAATATCTTCTCTGTGTCATTCTTTATCCATATGATAGTCCCTAAAACTATTAGCTTTTCCTTATGTACCATTTGTATTCATCCTTAGTGAATTGTATTAATGGAGATGATACGAGTTATGTCTGAACTCTTTAAGTTTATTGTTTTCTAAGTGTAATTGCCTCTCTTCCCTTATTATCTCAAATATTCTACCTCATAAGAATAAAATAGTTCACATCCATCTAGGTACTTGGTGGTGGAAAGGGAGGAAGATAAAAATAGAACTTTTCCTCTGATACTGGCTAGTCAAGCCTGTGGCCCAGTAACTGTTACCAAAGGCAATTTAAATGGTGTTCAGTGTTCTGCCAGTACCTGCATTTCATTTTTCTTGTGCTTATTTACAGATTGAACCCTATTTTTCCATTTTTCTCCTGTTCACATATTTGCTTTTTTTCGTTTACCTCTTACTTGCATATCACTTGGGCATGTAAGTGGCATCTACTAGCATTGCTTTAATTCTGCTGCTGACAATGGCAAAGCTTTACTAGATCCTTGTTCGTATCCCTTTTCTCTTGGCTATGTAGATATCTTTTGCCAGTTGACTAAGAAGTCAGGTAAGCATTAACTCTTTGTTGACGGAGAATAATGAAACTATTAATAGATACTAATTTGGATAGTTTAACCTGTGTTTTATTTATTGTTTCTCTTTCCCCTGTTCATTTGTTGTGACATACGGAATCATTTACATACCCACATTTCTTTATCCCTTTCCTATGGCTTAGCTTACTATGCTTTTTCTAAAACTAATAGCTTTCAGAGTTGGGAAGCAAGATACTGAATACCAAAGAAAACAATAGTTGTATTTTTCTGTTAAATATTAAAATATTTGTAATGGCTCTGATTTTTGTGATATTTTTGTGTCAAAAAAATGTAAGCCCATCTATTTGTATTCATGTGTTGTTACTTTTAGAGTATTTTATTTCCATGGAAAGTTTTTTATTATTTATTTTGTCTACATGTTATTCTATTCCTAGAGGAATGTTATTTCCTGTATTATAATAAATATCGGTGGGAAAATAGGATTGATTGTATAGAAATTCGCTTTATAGGCACTGTTCAAGAAGAATACGTCTGTGGCATAAAATGAAAAGATTTGTACTGAGATCTTTGGCTGTTTCTATCTTCTACCAAATGTTTAAAACAAAATAGTTGAATGAATTTGCATTCAAATCTGTTTAGTAGTAGTCTGACTGTTGTATAATCTAGAGCATTATTTCTGTATCTCAGGAAGCTGAATATGGTGGGCATGATCAGATAGATTTGTATGATGATGTCATCTCTCCATCTGCAAATAATGGAGATGCCCCAGAAGATCGGGATTACATGGATACTCTCCCACCAACTGTTGGTGATGATGTGGGTAAAGGAGCAGCACCAAATGTTGTCTATACATATACTGGAAAGAGAATTGCATTATATATTGGAAATCTAACATGGGTAAGTGACTTAACATATGAATTAAAGCATAGGTGATTGATTTCAAACTGTTTCAGTAGTTGGTTTTCTCCAGTTTTATAAAATAAGAATTTGAAGTTACTAGATTGGTTCTACATGCTTGCTTATGCAACGAGGAGGGAAATAGAAGTACCTTTAAAATATCGTAAATTCCAAATCTTCTAGTTCTGAATTTTGTAGACATTCAACTTGTTTTGGTAGAGATTCCAGTTAAATATAGTTCGATTTTATCTTCAAATCAGTTCTTTTTATTTTACTACTCCTACACTTCAGCTATCCCAGTTTTACAAAGAAAAATGCTCACATAAAGTCTCAAACCGAGATTCAGAAGTGCAGGAGAGAAACAGAATACAACTCCTGGTTTTAAGAGTTTTCATTATCTAAATCATACTACAGACGTGTTGAGTTTCATTTTTGCTCATAAATTTGAAATCTGATTTATGGAAATGCTGCTATATACATTGTATTTTAATTTGGGTTATTTATGAGACCGTAGGATTATTATTGGTTAGGAGTTTCATTAGCTGGATGTTCAGTGTTATCTATATTTCATTAGTATTAAATCTTTACTAAAATAGTCCTATAGAATTTTTGCATCTCTACTTAGAAACATTTGCTACACATAATTGAAAATTTTTTAGTTGTCTAGAAACCAAAACTTGTTACTGTTCCATTTCCTTAATAGCATTTTATTTTTAAATGTTTACATTTTTAAAAACCTAATTGATCTATCTCCCACTACCCAGTCTGAGGAAATTTTTTTTTTTTTAATTTTTTTGGGTTTTTTTTTTTTTTTTTTTGATATGGACCATTTTTAGAGTCTTTATTGAATTTGTTACAGTATTGCTTCTGTTTTATGTTTTGGTATTTTGGCTCTGAGGCATGTGGGATCTTAGTTCTCCAACCAGGGATCGAACCCACACCGCCTGCATTGGAAGGCAAAGTTTTAACCACTGGACCGCCAGGGAAGTCCCTGAGCAATTTTTAAATATTAGAGACAGTAGCAATGTAGTTATGAAGAGTATGGTTGCTAAGTAAGCCTCTGAATTTTAGTTTTTACATATGTTAGTTTTATAACCTTGGAAAAGCTCTTTAACCTCTCTATAACCTCTCTATCCCATGTGTAAAATGGGAGTGATATAGGACTTTTATGTTTTAAGAATTAAATATTTGATATAAAGTACATGGTAGGTACTCAATACATGTTAGGTGTTTTGTTTTGTTTTGTTTTGTTTCCATCTTGCATTGAAACATAAGATGGAGTTTATTTCCCCAAATAATTTCCTTTAAGGAAAGGAAGTGACAAGTGACATTGGTTTTATTGAAAATTTAAAGTTGTAGCAGTTGAAAGCTGGAAGAGACCAAAAACTCATTAAGAGTTTAAAAAAAAAAAAAAATCTATGTTCTCTCTAAGGGTATGTAGCTTCTAATTTCCAAAACTTATCAAGGGATAAAATTATATCCTCAGATGCTTTTGTGCTATTTAAAAATTGAAGGCTGACTGGCAGTAATTGTACTTAATTTGCACTGAGCATTTTCTCTTGTTTATCCTAAGTTTACCCTTAAAAAATAAATGGAAACAATAAAAATCTTGGATATGTTTTGATGGTTAATGAGGGGGAAATATCTTGCAGTGGACAACAGATGAAGACTTAACTGAAGCAGTTCATTCTTTGGGCGTAAATGATATTTTGGAGATAAAATTTTTTGAAAATCGGGCAAATGGCCAGTCAAAGGGGTAAGAATTTTGTTTTAATTCTTTTTTTTCCCTAATGGAAGTTAGTAGCTAGTGATTACAATTTTGGCGGTAACTTTCCTTGAAGTTAATGCTAACTACAAATGTGTAGGATGTTTTATTTCTACATTGTCAGGAGGTTCTTGGACAAAGATTCATACTCATTTCATGTATCCTGTGATCTACCACACTAAAACTAGTGGAGCTGGGAGTGTAGATAGATTAAGTTTCTTTTCCAATTTTCCTGAATTTTCTCCATCTATGGTTGAAATGATTTTTGAAATGACAGTTTGAAGAAGCATTGCTATCCCTGTAATTAAGGGATAGTGGAAGATGGGCAACTGAAGAATAATGTAACATGGATGTTTTGCTTTATTTTTTTAAACTATTAAACTACACAAATGAGGTAGGATCATTACGGGATCATTATAAAATACAGATGTCGAAATGTAAGAAAATAAAAAGCCACAATCTCATCATCCATAGATGATCGCTCTTGACATTTTAGTGAATATACTTTCAGGTTTTTAAATTTTTACTGCAAAAACAATAGGATTACAACTCAGGTTTTATAATGTATTTGATACACGGAGTAAAACAAATATTTAACAATAAACATACATCTTCCCTAATGTATTAAGTTCTTTCTATCATACCTTGTATGCTACCGTAATTTATTTTACCATTCTAATTTTTGGTTATTTGGGTTTCCAGTTTTTGCCTATTATAAATAATGTTGTGGCAGGCTTCGTTTTATATAAATCTTTAGGTTCAGATTTTGGACTTTTTAAAAGGTAATTTGCTAGATGCAGAATGATGAAGTAAAAAATATGCTTAATGTACTTACTTTATATTGTTTAATATGCCAGTTTTCAATAACTAGAATATTTTCAAAATACGTACAGAGTCTGACTGCTTTTCATGAACTTCACTTCTACTACCTGATCCGAGCCACTGTTCTCTCTTACTTGAACTTCTGTAATAGCCTCCTACGTGGTGTTCCTGCCTTCACTCTGATTCTCTACAGTCTATATACATGATACATAGCAGAAGTTGAAAAAAAGTGACATCAATATTTGCCTGCTCAGAATTTTCTAATGGTTATCTATTTTATTCAGAGTAAAACCCAGAATCTTCACTGTGGCCTACAAGGCACTAAGACCAGTTTCCCCACTACCTCTCTGACCTCATCTCCTGCTACTCTTTGCCTTCCCTATGCTGCTTCAGCCACATTAGTCTCTGATGTTCCTCAAACACATTGCTACTTAAGACCTTTACACTGTTTCTTCTTTTTGGTTTATTTTTTCCCAAAATGTCCACATTTGGGATCTGTCACTTCATTCAGGATTTTGCTTGAGTTCCCTTCCCTGGCCACCCTATGCAAGACCTTCTGCCTCCATCACTGTTTCCTTTTTTTAGTTTTTCTTATGATGTATTTTACTCGTTTATTGTCTTGTCTCCTACTAGGTTTAGATTGTAACCTCCATAAGAGCTTGGCTCACTGTTGTATCCCTAACCCTAGAATGGTGCCTGGGATATAGGAGGTGGTGCTCAATAAATGTTTGTTAAATTAGTGAATTAATTAAATTATTTCTAAATGTTGTGACCCAAGATAATCTTTAATCAGACAGCAGACTTTTTTGACCAAGGATCTAGTTTGTTTTTTTTTTGCGGTACGCGGGCCTCTCACTGTGTGGCCTCTCCCGTTGCGGAGCACAGGCTCAGCGGCCATGGCTCACGGGCCCAGCTGCTCCGCGGCATGTGGGATCTTCCTGGACCGGGACACGAACCCGTGTCCCCTGCATCGGCAGGCGGACTCTCAACCACTGCACCACCAGGAACCCCAAGGATCTAGTTTTTTTTTTTTTTTTTTGCGGTACGCAGACTTCTCACTGTTGTGGCCTATCCCGTTGCAGAGCACAGGCTCAGCGGCCATGGCTCACGGGCCCAGCCGCTCCGCAGCATGTGGGATCTTCCCGGACCGGGGCACGAACCCATGTCCCCTGCATCTGCAGGCGGACTCTCAACCACTGTGCCACCAGGGAAGCCCCAAGGATCTAGTTTTTTAAAAAATATTTATTTATTTATTTTGGCTGTGCTCGGTCTTAGTTGTGACATGCGGGATCTTCGTTGCAGCATGCGGACTCAGTTGCAGTAGGCAGGCTTCTTAGTTGCGACATGGAGGCTTCTTAGTTGCGGCGTGCGTGTGGGATCTAGTTCCCCCACTAGGGATCGAACCTGGGTCCCCTGCATTGGGAGCACAGAGTCTTATTCAGTGGGCCACCAGGGAAGTCCCAAGGGAGAAAAGGCTTCTAAGAGTCCTTCTGAGAATAATTTAGAATATTGTATAACTGTGAGTTGACGCTCATTCATTTTTTTTTTCTATTTTAACTTTATTTTTCCTAGTGAGATATAATCACATACTACAAAATTCATCATTATAAAGTCTTCAAATCAGTGGGTTTTAGTTTATTTATAAAGTTACACAACCATTACCACTGTCTAATTCCAGAATATTTAATCACCCCCAAAGGAAATCCCATATGCATTAGCAATCTGTCTCTGTGGATTTGCCTATTCTGAAATGGTATCATAAAGAATGTGGTCCCATGTGACTAGCGTCTTACACTTAGCATAATGTTTTCAGGGTTCATCATGTTGTAGCATGTGTCAGTACTTAATTTCTTTTTATAGCTAAATAATATTCCACCATGTGGATACACCACATTTTAAAAATCCCATCCATCATTTGGTGGACATTTGGGTTGTTTCCATTTTTGCTATTATGAATAAGACCCCTATGAATATTCATATACCAGTTTTTGCATGAGCATATATTTTCTTTCTTTTTTTTTTTTTAAGGAAATTGTTTCTTTCATCTAAATAGGTTACACTGTTATTATATCTTCTACCACTGCTACTACTTGATTAAATAGCTTGAATTTGGGGCTGTTTTATAAAATGTTAATTTTGAAAAATAATTTTGTATTTTTAAACACTAGATAGATTATCATAAGCAAAGTGAGCTACTCATACTGTGAGAAGCACATGGAGATGAGATCTGACTGTGGAAACTGTGTACTAAGCATCCCATTTCTTCTTCATTCTAAGGTGCAAATTCTCTGGGAGCCAACAATGGGTTAAATTGCACTATTAACTTTTTTTGTCTTGTTTTGGGGGAAGTTGATTATTGGTCCAATACATTATACCTGATTTATGTATGTTAATTGTGTAAACAGGGAACTCTGTAATAATACTGATAAATAATAACATCAGCGTAGCATGTGAAAAAAAAAGATAGGTTACACTGTAGTCCCCATATGATTTGGCAGTATTCCAGAACCACCCTTTCATATAGACAGACAAATATTTAGTGAAAGAAGTTAAATTTATAAATATTTATAAAATTTCCATTTTTTTTCTTATAAATTATGCCCCTGTGAATATTCATGTACCAATTTGTGTGAACATATATTTGCAATTCTGTTAGGTACACGTGTACACCAGGAGATTTATTTTTCTGCCATGAGGCTTGCAGGATCTCAGTTCTCCAACCAGCGATTGAACCTGGGCCACGGCAATGAAAGCGCCAAGTCCTAACCACTAGACAGACCACCAGGGAACTCCCAGGAGAGAAGATTTATTGGATTGTATTTTTAACTCTGTATTTAACCTTTTAAGGAGCTGCCGGGATGTTTGTCAAAGTGGCTGCACTACTTTACATTTTCCATCAAACAGTGTATGTGGGTTCTAGTTTTCTCCACATCCTCACCAGCACTTGTTAATTGTCTTTTTGGTTAGTGAATGTGAAATGGTATCATTGTGGTTTTAATTTACATTTCCCTGTTGGCTAATGATATTGAGCATCTTTTCATGGTGACATTATTCATAATAAAAAAGTGGAAACAACCCAAATGTCTGTCAATTTTTGGAAAATGTGGTATATCCATATAATGAAATATTATTCAGCCATGAAAAGGAATTAAGCACTGACACATGCTACAACATGCATAAACCTTGAAAACATTACACTTAGTGGAAAAAGCCAATCACAAAAGACCACATACTGTATAATTCCATTTATATGAAGTGTCCAGAATAGGCAAATCTGTAGGGACAGAATGTGGATTAGTGATTCATTAGGGTTGGAGGATGGGAAGAAATGGAGTGACAGCTAACACTTATGGGGAGTTTTTTGAGTGATGAAAATTGTTTTTAAAATTGATTGTGGTGATGTTTGTAAAATTCTGAATATGCTAAAAAAAATAAACCACTGAATTCTATACACTTAAAGTGAGTAGGTAGTATGATGTGTTGTTATAAAAAAAAAGTTAAAGATCAAAGTGTGAGCTTTGTATATTTCTAAGAAATATTTTCCGTTTTCTTAGGTAAAATTAAATTCAGACCATTTCCTTTTTAATAAGAGTAATAACAGTTAATCCCTCCTCACTTTCTACCCACACCCCTTTAAACATCTTTTAGGTTTGCCCTTGTTGGTGTTGGATCTGAAGCATCCTCAAAAAAGTTAATGGATCTGTTGCCTAAAAGAGAACTTCATGGTCAGAATCCTGTTGTAACTCCATGCAATAAACAGTTCCTGAGTCAATTTGAAATGCAGTCCAGGAAAAGTAAGCAACCCCTCAAAGGCTTTTATTAAAAGTTGTACATTTAAAAAAAAAAAAAAAAGTTGTACATTTTAACTAATCTTGGTAGCATTTGTTAGATGTTATATTGGAGAAGTCGTCTTAATATTTATACTTAGTATTTAGTTCATTGGAGAATCCATTTTAGAAAGTCCATGCTTTGAATTTGATTTAAATTACCGATTATGACTGGTCCCGTGTACTGGGAACCTACTCCCGTTTTTCTGTAGATGTCACAGACCCAGCATTATACAACAGTGTACAAGTTCTATAGCCCTGTCATTCCCATCGTAAAAAAAGGAAGAAACTACATTCTAATCCTTAGATTGAAGGAAAGTTATGTGGGTGTCTGTTATGGTGGGGGAGGAACCATTGATAATCAGAAAGTATTTGTTGATTTTCTGCTTAGCACCAAGACCTTTCACTACTTGGTAAAGTGGCTATAGAGAAGATTTGCCATTATACACTTACAAATGTTATCACTTAGAGATAAATGGATGATCAGGCAATTAACAGAAATTCAAGTGGTTGTTTCAATGTTCTAGCACTTAACACTCAACTGACGAATGTTACAAAATTTAAATGATTATACTTACTGACATTTAGATTTCTGTTGGAGAATTTTGGTCTTGGCGGCTGCAGAGTACTGGTTTTTTGAAAGTAACTCATGTTTGCTTATTGGAAATACATTTAAGCCTGGATCTTTTGAGGCTTCAAAAGAACTTAAATAGATATGAATGTTTTCCTAAACTGGTACTTCTCATGTAGTTTGGACAGGCCCAAGGCATCTGCAAGTTAGTATATAGTGTAAATGAACTTTGAAATAGAGTTGTTTCTAATATCTAACAGTGGTTATGTATCAGCTATTTTAATAAATGCTATTTATGAGTATTTGGATATTTGCAGCTACGCAGTCAGGACAAATGTCTGGGGAAGGTAAAGCTGGTCCTCCGGGAGGCAGTTCACGTGCAGCCTTTCCACAAGGTGGTAGAGGACGGGCCCGTTTTCCAGGGGCTGTTCCTGGTGGGGACAGATTTCCTGGGCCAGCAGGACCAGGAGGGCCACCTCCACCTTTTCCAGGTAAAATTTTTCTTAAATTACCATGGATAAAATGTGTCTACCTAATACCTCTTTTCCTTTTCTCTCTTTTTCAAGTAATGCATTATTAATGTGACTTACTCTCCTTGTTATGCTATTTTTGGAATCCAGGAAATTTGATCAAGCATCTTGTTAAAGGAACTCGGCCTTTGTTCCTGGAAACTAGGATTCCATGGCATATGGGGCACAGCATAGAGGAAATACCCATTTTTGGCCTAAAAGGTCTTTATTTTTCTCCAAACTTGCTTGACTTATATATAGAATATTTACATCCGTCTTATTTTCTTACCTCTTAAAAAATCCTTTCAGGACCATTTTTCCTTGTTTCACTTTCTAGCTTGGCATCAGAGTAGACTATAAGGTGGGTGATTTCACTGTAAGAAGTGTGTGTACGCTGAAAGATGGAAACTATCTCTAAGCAATGTAATCTATTAAAGTTTTTGTTTCAGTAATTTTTCTTAAGCATAAATTGAGCTAGCTAAATGTGTAAGGATAAACTTCACCTTTGTAATTGTTAGTGTAGCATTTACCATATGGGTTGCATTTAAAGAGAAAGAGTCTTGGTCTATGAGTTACGCTTTAAAAGTATAATTTTGGCGTGAAGATAAACTGCCTTATTGAAGTGTTTTTTCTCTCTCTCTCTCTCTCTCTCTCTCTCTCTCCCTCCCCTTTATTCTATAGCTGGACAGACTCCACCACGTCCACCCTTAGGTCCTCCAGGCCCACCCGGTCCACCAGGTCCTCCACCTCCTGGTCAGGTTCTGCCTCCTCCTTTAGCTGGGCCTCCTAATCGAGGAGATCGCCCTCCACCACCAGTTCTTTTTCCTGGACAACCTTTTGGGCAGCCTCCATTGGGTCCGCTTCCTCCTGGTCCTCCACCTCCAGTTCCAGGCTACGGCCCCCCTCCTGGTCCACCACCTCCACAACAGGGACCACCTCCACCTCCAGGCCCCTTTCCACCTCGCCCACCTGGCCCTCTTGGGCCACCCCTTACACTCGCTCCTCCTCCGCATCTTCCTGGACCACCTCCAGGTGCCCCACCACCAGCTCCACATGTGAACCCCGCTTTCTTTCCTCCACCAACTAACAGCGGCATGCCTACATCAGATAGCCGGGGTCCACCACCAACGGATCCATATGGCCGGCCTCCACCATATGATAGGGGTGACTATGGGCCTCCTGGAAGGTAAGTTAGTATGTATCTATAAAAGTAGACTTGGTGTATTTGATCTGCAAAAGGTATTTTTCTCTGTCAGTGAAGTTTTAAAAAAATCATGACCTTTTCCCCAGGTACATAATTTTTTGTATTGTTTTCTCTTAGAAGAAGCAGTGTGATATGGTGAAAAACATACTGAACGGGGTTGGGAATAATCCAGCTCTGCCACTTATACAGCCATGTGATTTTAGGGCAAGTCACTTTGTTTTCATCATTTTTAAGTTAAAAGAGGTTAATAAAGATAACTTAAGCGAGCAAATGGGATCCTTAAGCTATTTTCAAGGTTTTAAAGTCAATCTCATTTACCATTGATGACATTACATAGAATGGTAAAGTTTATTCATTGGTTTAGGAATTAGGTCAGTTTATTAGATAGGTACTATTGATTATCTCATGCTTATCAGGAGTCCTGAGTAGCAGAATTACTAGCTTTTAATTAAAATGGGAACATTAAATAATTTACAAGCATATTTGGGTAGACAAAGACTTGTAAAACACAGACTTTATGGAAATTAAAATGGTTAATGGCAATCCTTAGAAAGAAGCTGCATGGAAGTCACGGTGGAACTAAGTGATCCCTAAGCCCCCTTTCAAAATACTTTTAAAGCTATCCATACTCAAATCATAATCTAGAGATTAATCTCTAAGAACTACTTGAATTTGCCTCGTTCAGTTTCTTCTGAGTTTATCATTTGATTTTATATTCTTTAACTATCACTGTTGAATGACTTTGTATTTTGTTTTGTCTGACAGTGTTCTGCAGGGATGGATTTGAGCATCTGCCTAATTCCATACAGTTGCACAGGGCCAGGGAAATAAATTTGATGTTGTAAACAAAGTCTCCTGACATTTATTTACCATAGAGCTTGTGTCTTTATGTGACTGCCAAAATTGCTTCGTTTTCTTTTGAAAAACGTTATAACTAGGAAGCTAGCACAACTTTTCTCCTGTTCAGCTTAATTTCAGTGAGCAACTACCTATTAAGTGTCCACTCAGTGTATAGGGGTGGGTTAGGTGGTTTGGTTTGACAGTTTAAAATTTGAATCTCATGTCTTTTTTCTAACATAATAGAATTTCTACAGTGTCAGTTTTTCTTAAAATACATTTGTGTATATATTTTTACTTATTATTGAGTAATTTTTAATTGAAAATTGGAGAAAACTGATTATCTTGCGTGGGTTTTTTTTTTTTTAGGGCATCAGATGGGTATGAGTCACAGAAATTAATTGAAATCATGCATGGATTTTGAACAACTTGTGATTTGGTTGGGCTGTTTATAAAGTTTTGGGAATAACAATAATACCTTATAAACATGAAGAAGGTTATATTAGCTGTTTCCTCATTTCATTAGAATGAACTGCTATTGCTTACCTCAGTTCAACATCCTACGTAGTAACTAATAACTAAGATGGCAAAAAGTTTTACCTTTTCCTATACTGCACATGCAGTCACAATTTTTAAAGTTGTCCAGCAGCTTTAGAAAATCTTGGAATTTTACTGTTTTTTTTCCAACAAATATTTACAGGTACTGAGTGCCTTTTATTTGCCAGATATCCTTCTAGGGATTCAGTGGCAAACAAGATAAGTCTAAAGTCTTCTCCCTCCTGAAATTTTATTAGTCCAACAGACATTTATTATCCTTCTCTTATGAATTGGGCCTTGCGCCTAGAGGATCCAAATATAAATGAAACCAAATTCCATCCCTTGATAGTGTAGGGTTGTATTTTTTGCAGTCAGGATTTTTTGTTTAGATATACATATGTGTCGGGACATAAGAACAATTTATTATATCTGTTTTTGTATGACTCTGAAAAATAGTATATTATACTTACGTAAATACATAATTTCTGGCCTCCAGAAAGATGAGGTTTCTAAGTTGCTACTTTATTTCAGCTGAAAGATAAGGGAATTTTGCTTAGACCTTCTCTCTTCGTAGGAAAAAGATCACATTTCAATCTGAAAAAGTAACTATTAGCTCTAAGGCACTTGTCAAAAGCAATTATTTGAATTGCTTTACACTATTGTGACTAATTTAGAAAATCTTTTGAGTATGATTTAAGGTTTATTTCGATTTTACAGGGAAATGGATACTGCAAGAACACCACTGAGTGAAGCTGAGTTTGAAGAAATCATGAATAGAAATAGGGCAATCTCAAGCAGTGCTATTTCAAGAGCTGTGTCTGATGCCAGTGCTGGTTTGTATATTTCTTTCTGTATTAACATTTCTTATTTATGTTATTAGGAATGACCTAAAAAGTACAGTCTTGAAGATGGGTCATCTACATGTAGTAGTTATTTTTATATTTACAAATCATTACCTATACTTTATTTAAAAGGCATTGAAGGGAACTGTATGTCACAGTGTAGTGGAAAAACCCCTAATTTAAAAATTTTAGGTGTAAATTTAAATATTAGCCCTGACATTTAATGGCTCAGGGACCTTAAGGCAGCTCATTTATTCTCATATTTACTAAATGATTATGTGTTTCACACAGCTATAATAGTAACAAATGGTGTTAACTTCATGTACATTAAAGCCTTTCAGAATGGTGAAACTCTGAGAAAAATTAAGACATCTTCTGTAGTGATTTTAAAGTGCATTCCTTTTGTAAAATGGTTGCCCCAAATGGTTTGGTGGTATTTTGAAAACAAAATTTATTTGACTTCGGCCCCTCTCCTTCCACTTACAGGTGATTATGGGAGTGCTATTGAGACATTGGTAACTGCAATTTCTTTAATTAAACAATCCAAAGTATCTGCTGATGATCGTTGCAAAGTTCTTATTAGCTCTTTGCAAGATTGCCTTCATGGAATTGAATCCAAGTCTTATGGTTCTGGATCAAGGTAAAACTTTCCTGTCTCATGTCTGTTTAAAACTGCTGCTTTGCAAATAGAAAAAATACTGTGTTTGGGACTTTATAGGACTTTGATTTTACTTATTACTGTTTACTTAGCAGCTAGTGTGATCTTGTTGTTGTTTTTGTTTAAACCCTAAATCAAATGTTAGGTGTTTGCTTGCTTAAAACCTTTCAGTGGCTTCCAGTTATTCTTAGAATAAGACTGTAAATATTGAAGTGCTGTGTGATATAGTTCTACCTATCTTTTCAGTCTCACTGTGTACCTCTCCTCTGGCTCACTGTTCTCTCGCCACATTGGTCTCCCTTCTCTTCTTGACACATCAAGCACTTGCCCACCTCACTGTTTTGTTTTGGGTTTTTTTTTTTGCGGTACACGGGCCTCTCACTGTTGTGGCCTCTCCTGTTGTGGAGCACAGGCTGCGGACGCGCAGGCTCAGTGGCCATGGCTCACGGGCCCAGCCGCTCTGCGGCATGTGGGATCTTCCCGGACTGGGGCACAAACCCATGTCCCCTGCATCGGCAGGCAGACTCAACCACTGCGCCACCAGGGAAGGTGCACCTCACTGTTTTTGTACTTGGTATTTATGCCCACCTCGCTGTTTTTGTACTTCGTATTTCTTCTGCTGGGAGTCCTTTTCCCTGGCTCTAATAGCTGGCTCCTTATCCATCATGCCTCAACTCAATCTGACTTGCTAAGAGGGGTCTTCTCCCAGGTTATTCTGTCATGTTCATTCTGTTTAGTTTTCATAATACTTACTACAGTCTATTTTTATTTGTTACTAATGCACATTTTTTTTCACTAGAACACATCGAAAGATGGAAAGGACCTTACCTGTCTTGTTCGCTACAATATTTGTAATGATGAAACAGTGCTTGGTACAGATTGGGTGCTAAATAAATATTTCTTGAACAAAGGAGTTAATAATCTATTTCTTAGTATTTTTATTTTAATTCGGCAGTTCCTTTTTTTGGCATTACTGCTAACCTTGAAATTTTACATATTTTCAAAAGGTAGATCTTTAACCTTGACGTGATACTTTCAGGTCTTTATAGTGTACTTTATCTAGTGGTAGAGTTGTCTTCATTAAGTTAGGAAAAGAGAGCTTGTCTTTGTCATGGTCCACAACTTTATAATTATTACCTTTTTGACCCAGTATAAAGATGTTTGGACCTGAACACATTTGTTATAGCTGAAGACCGTATGTTATATAGTTTTCTTTTAACTATTTAAGTCTAGAATAATAACTTCTACTTTAATCACAGGCTTAGCACTTAACAGTGTTTGCTAAGTTGAGCTGTCTGGTGCAGAAATACAAAATAGAGATTAAATTAATAGCCAGTTGTTATTTCCTTGTTGTGAATTTCAGAATTTAGAATAGTAGGATTTCTAAGATACATACTCTGGTTAAAGTACCTGTTTTTTGTTGTTGTTTTTAAAGGCAGTTCATGAAACATTTCTCTTTATTAAATAAAAATGAGAATAGTATCTCAGTCTTTTCTGGTGGTCATGTTTACTAAGTTTCTTCTCTGCTTCCCACCATGCCCCTCAGCACCACCACCCCCCAAGCATACCTACGAATATATTTCATTAGGAAGTTTCTTAGTGGGGTAACACTCATGATGAACCATATTTTGGCTAGTTTTAAATGTAAAATTGATATTTACATATAGGTTTAGGTAACCTGCATTAATGGGTGGTAGTTTTATGTATTTAAGTCTCATTATATATTGAGTGATTTCATGAATTTTGTGTCTAAAAAACTACCTTCTGTATGTTCTTTAGCTTGAAACACAAGTCCTTTGAAATTTTCTCTCCTTTACCTTTCTGCTTTTCATTCAGTAAATACCACATGTCTGTTTTAGGCTGCTAGTTATAATAGATGTAATAGATGATATGGTGTATTGCCATGGTGTGTCTGGTTCCCAATTTTTATTTATTTGGCTGCGCCGGGTCTTAGTTGCGGCACATGTGATTTTTAGTTGTGGCATTCGGGATCTAGTTCCCTGACCAGGGATCAAACCCAGGACCCCCCTGCATTGGGAGCGAGGAGTCTTAACTGTTGGACCACCAGGGAAGTCCCGGGTGAATGTTTTTAAAAATGGGGTTTCTAGTTCATGCTTGTACGTGAGTAAATCATTATTGGCAGTTCAGGATATTTTAGTTTAAATTATATTTATAAGTTATTTTTTGCCATAGGTATTTTTAAACACCAAAATATTGAATATCTTTTTAAGCTATCTAATTATGGAGAGCATTAATCCAGTAATTTCTTTTAGAAGACGTGAACGATCAAGAGAAAGGGATCATAGTAGATCACGAGAAAAGAGTCGGCGTCATAAATCCCGCAGTAGAGATCGTCATGATGATTATTACAGAGAGAGAAGCAGAGAACGAGAGAGACACCGGGACCGGGACCGGGACCGTGATCGAGAGCGCGACCGAGAGCGCGAGTATCGTCATCGTTAGAAGGTGGGTATTCCTTGTTCCTGTTGTATTTAACATATGTATTATTAATAGTAGTTATAACTCCAAGGCTATTGTTTATGCAGTATATACCCACATTTTACATGGTTCAACTACTTGTTCTGAATTTAATCTTCTGGAAACATCTGAGATAAATGACAGGTGAGTAATAACAGGTAAACATTTTGACCTCTTATCCTTAAATATTGTGTTGCTTGCTTGAGCTACAGCTTTTAGGTTTCAGGTTGTTAATGGTCCTAAGAAATAATCAAGAGGACTCATTGTCTACTTCTAAAAATCTAAAAATTGGAATTCTCTTAATCACATACATAGTTTTCATGTGATTTAAAATATAAAATATAGGGAGTTAATTCATACTATATATAGTATGCTTGGACTTCAAAAAATAAAGTTTCTTTCCTTGAACTAACTTTATTTATCCCTAAAAATTTTAAAGAAAATCTGACAGTATAATAGTTTATAATACAGGAAGAATATAGGAGGGTGGTTTCTCAGCATTGAGAAAAACTTTTTTTTTTTTTTTTTTAGAAAAGACACTTTTCCTGCCATCTGGGTTTTGTTTTTAAAAGAAAAGAAACAGTATTCTTTAATTTGCAAAGAAGATAAGAAAGTTACTCAATTAAAATGGATTCAGGGTATTCCATGTAGAGAATTTTAAATTGTACCAAATCATACATCCCAGGTTAGAATAACCTTGAAATAATTTTCTTTGATGTTTCATTCATAAACCATAATCATTGTGTCTTTTTTTTCTGTATTTTAAAACTATTGTGTACATTTTTCATAAAGCGGGAAGAGTTGTCTGTTTATACTTCATTTTCACGTGTAATTTTATTTTTATATTTGTGAACAGCGTTTATTCATGTGAAAAGTGGGGAGAGGGCACTATAAGGCTTGTGCATGTGACACAAAGGTTATTCTGTAAACAGATTTTTTTTCTTCATATGTTGGTGGCATATCCAAAATAAATTAGGCTAAAACAAACCCCTTATTGGTAATTACTCTTTACATGATTATTTTCCATAAAATAAAATTGGGAAATATTGAAAATTCAATTATGGTAATTGTTAGTATTTAAATTGTTATGGGCAAAATCAAAGGATTGTATGTAATTCTGTGACAAAATAACAGTTTCTTTAGATATATTTTAGCAAACGAGATCCTTTTTAAGTAATATTACTTAGAAAATAAGCATGTAAGTCTTATTTTTATGGTACACAAATAACCTATTACATTATTTACAGTTTGAAGGGCTTTTTGAAGTAAAAAGGCAAGTTTTAATACTTTTCCTTGCATTTTGAATATGCATTTTGAATATATATCAAAACCTTAATTTTAAAATAGTTCTCCATGTACTGTATTATAGAACTTAACATAAATAATTCTCAAAACATTATTTTAATATGAGGCAAAACTTTTTATTTTTAAAACTAAGCTTATTGAAATTGATACTGTTTTTGGATGTAAGAACTGAATGTTGTATCATGTAAGACTAAATACTAAATTTTAAAGATGTAGCCCTTTGCCTCTCCCACTCCCGCCCACCCCACCCCCCAGTTGAATAGATCTGATCCCATCTTATGAAAAAATTCTCAGTGTCCATCAGTGCTTAAGGTGAATTGTGGCCAACTTAGGGAAATGTTTAACGTATATCAGCCATTTCATTTAAAGTAAGGTACAGGTCCTTCAATTTATATTTTTATTTAGACTTTGTCAGTTATCAACAAGCTTCTAGTTACTGAAGTCATGATAATGGAACTTGCATACATTTTCAGTCATCTCCAAGATTGGATATGCCCATCAAGGGCATTCTGAGCCAGTTTATACCCAAAGTTAATTAACAAGTCTTCTTAATGGTTTTAGCATAGTTAAGTAAACTCCTTCTGAAAGGTCCATTGTTAATTTTAAATACTTTGAATTAACATTACATTCCGGTAATGGGTACACCTAACTATATCATGGTTTGAGTTTCATTACGTTCAGACATTAACTATGAATTCCTAACTTGCAAACTATTGTTGACATTTTTTCTTAATCACTGATGTGTACCATACCAAAATTCCCATGTTTTGTTTGTGCATTAATCAGAATTGAGTTGTAATATTGTTATGTGCCTTCATCCAAGCAAAATTTTACATAAGCATTTCCAGTGCAAAAAATTCTGTTATCCTGGAATATTGTACCTTTGCTATACCAAACAGTATTTATTGTGAACATAGATGTGAATAAATGGGTAGGGACTGGGATTAAATATATCTGAGTGAAAAACTTTTTTGAGCAAATAAAAAATATCTGCACATTTAATCACCATCATAATGAGGTCTATTGACCTTTTTTAGAAGTTTTAAAATATGAGTCCTTTTGAACTTTCATGTAAATCTTAAATGGACTAAATGGAATAAGAGTAACTTGGAAGCTAAAGTGAATGTCAGTAGTAAGTCTGTATGCAAATAAAACAATAATGTAATCTATTATTAAAGTGATGATGAATGGCTAAAAGGGCAAGTTCTTAATTTAACTGGAAACTTAAATGATGTTGGCAAGCTGTTAATGTCTGTCCCATCTTAATTTTTTTGTGTGTTTGAACTGTTGGTAATGTTAATTGCATTCTCTCATTTAAAAAATGTATTAGTTTTTCTAAAAGCATTTAATATCTAAGTTCAAATATATAATATTTTAATGGGAATATCGGTATTGTAAATTTCAGCATGTAAATATATTGTGCTTCATATTCTGTAATTTCTGCCTCTATTCTCAGACCACTCTGAGCAAAACAAAAGTAGTTCAGTGTTTTAAGATTATATGCTTTTTACAGAAATAATTTTGTTTTCATAGTTGTTTTCTTTTGTGTTCCTCTTATTACTTGCTGGGAACAACCCTACTCAGCGATTTCTGTTAACAGTTCCACTTTTCTTTGTATACTGAAGAGTAATGAACTGAAATTATTTTTTTAAAAACTCTTTATTCATGCTTTTCCTCTCTCTGACACATGATGTTTACACATTCTCAAATCATTATCCATTCCTTTGATTAGATTTTAAGCATCATATACGGGGTATAGGTTAAGTAACTATACTTTCCTTTGCTGTATGATTACTTTTCTCCTTTCACAAATACCATGATCTTAGATTTTGTTGTCATTGCACAAGATTTAGGGTGTTTTGCATTCCTTATTCAATTCATAGCTTTGCATTAATTTGGCAGGGGGAAGCCAAAAGAATCAAAAGTTCTTGCATAAATGTTAAGATGCTTTTATCTCCTCAAGAGTTAATGTTACTTTGAGTCTTATGTGAAAATTAAATTCTTCTAATCATCTGATGAATGATACGGGTGGTAATGAGATTTAAAAACTATTTCTGCAACTCTTAAGTCATCTGAGATCTGACTAATACTGTCCAGCCCTGTGTTTATTGTTTCCCCATATATCCTACCCGCTTCATCTGGATATGCCAGCTTTCATTATTTTCACTCTAATTTTCCTTGCTTTTAGTATTATTTGCAAAACCTGCCTGACTACACAGTTATGTTAATTAAAGTGAGAAGAGGGTAAAAAGTGATCCTAGAATGGATGTATAGTGTGTGTTTTGCTCACTGTGGTTTAAGAATATGGTTTTGTTTACAAATGATTAATGTTCCCTGTTTAAAAAAAAAAAATCAGTACCAATGTGAGTCACCTTGATCTCTCACCTTCATCTCAGTGTGAAATTTACTACCATTGTTCTAGTTTGTAAATTAGATTGTTTTGAATAAATAATGATTTGAATGAATAGTTAGCATTGTTTAAAGGAAATCTAATAACCAAAAAAGGACTAAGGGTGTCATATATGCTGTCCAAATTTACTAATTTGCCTTGGTGGTAGCATGTTTTAACTCTCACAGTGAAATCTAAATCACACAGCAGCTTATTTTGAAATGTCCATTTTGTGAAATTTTTTGGGCAAAGCTGGGTATTCTTTAACTGTGAAGTTTATTTCTACTGTTTAGTGAACTGCCTAGAGCAACAATCCTGTATATGTTTTATAGTGTAATGAAATGGGTTAGTTAAAATGAGGTAAGTACTATCTGCAGAGATGCAAAGATGAAAGTACGAAATGTTTTGGTAGTAAGGGAGTTTTTTGTAAACATCTACAACAAACAGGATTTTGTGTAATATGTTCTAGTCAATGCAAGGAGGGATTTTGATTTTAAAGAGTTCACTTGTATTTAGATACTTCTAGTTCTTTTGCCCACTTCATCTCCTTTCCTCTCATTAAGAAAAAAGTGAATTTTATTATATTGCATTAATAAAAGTATATCTCTAAAATTATATTAGAATCCTTCTTATTCAGTGTATTAATGTGAAAACCTGTAAAAGATCCATATCTAATATATTTGAATCTTATACTTGAAAGGTGAATTAACTGATACCAGTAAATTTGCTTGGATAAGTTTTCTAACAGAAACACTCGTAATTTGAGTTGTTAGTATTGACTTGATCTTGCATTATCTCAAAATGCAGGTGCTTCTCTATTGAAATTTTAACTTAGTGCTCACTTTATATACTTCATTAAAGAGCCATAGATTCCATCTGTCTTAGTTTTTTTAACAACTGCTTACATAGATCTTCCTTCTATAACTGATAGCTAAAGCAAGAAATTGTGTGGCTTTGACATTACAGATTTGACCACATGGTATTCTGAAAACATGACCGTTGAATGTATTTGTCACTTTAAGCTTCTTTTTGATATCTGTGTTTATGTAGATTTCTACTTAGAAACTTGAGACTATAATATGGAATTGGGTTATTGGAAATGGGTTGTATTGCCTTCAAATTTGCTTTTTCTTTTTTTTTTTTGAGATTGTAAAATTTTGTATTTCCAAATGGATAAATGTAAAGTGTTTAGAAATAGAAATAAAAGCTGTCAGATTATCCCCCAGATTTTGTCTGTATGGTGAAAATTAGAGACTTATTAATAGTAAAGATCTATCTATAAGACAAAAGATAAGTGCATTCATCCTAAAGATATGTGTTGTAATTTCACAAATAGGATTCTCTACCTAAAAAATAGTAAAAATTCTCCATTGGAGTGATATAAAATTGCAGAGTATGCCATGTTTTTTGGAAGGGTTGGGTATTTTTGTTTTGCTCACTGTGACTTAATTTTTCCCTCTTATTTAAATCCCTTCCAGCATGATAAAATAACTGGGAGATAAACATCTTTTTGCAATGAGATTTATGAGTTTCCCATTATTTTTTCAGATTAGAACATATGCCTTGTCTCTCTTTAATACTTCAATACCAGTTTTTTTAAGTATATTGCAAAGTAGTAAAGATAAAATGTGTGAAGCTACCTTTCTAGATTTTTTTCCATGAAATAATTCCACCAAAAGCTTTATCAGCATAAGATAAAATACATGAAAGGTAACATTAGAAATGGCTTAAGTATCTATTTGAAAAATATGGGCAAATTAAAAACTATTTAAAAGTCCAGGATTATGACATCTGCTTTTTCATTTTGTAGTTGTAAAATTTAAGTTTTTACTGCTAGGCAATGTGAATGCGTATGTGTACTGATGCTCTTAAGTTGCTTACACCCTAATTGAGGAGGAAAGGACATAGAAGAAGATTTATAGTTGTGACAGAATATTAATTACTCTTAATTGTAGAGCAAAAAGTATTTTTCAGTTACTTTTATGGGATACTATCACTAAACATTGTGCCCTTTTGCCTCTTACATCATATTATTGAAACACTCTCTTGGAATTTATATTTTAAATATCTGGTGTTTCAGGTGATCACATATCCACGTTAACTGAATGTTTCTTTTGTGAACCTCTACCTGAAGTTTGCATATTTATGTACTCCTGAAACTTTAGGTTATCTCATTTATTGGGTTTTTTTTTCTTTATGTGAGTTTTCAATGAAATTTATCATTGTAGATTCCCATTTAGCTTGTTTCGGCTTAGTTTATATATTTACATTAGATATTTCAGTGTAGGTGGAATAGAGGGACAGTAATGTTATAAATTTGTATATGTCTAAAGATTTGTACGTGGATGTCATATTTATTTAAATGTGCATACTGAGCTTATATTTATAAATTTTGTAACATGGAGGACCGTTTGATTTATAACATTTGCAGAAGTTCCTGTATGTCAAATAAATACAACTAATCTGTAAAATAATTTATTGCATTTATATTCAGTTCTCATTTAATTGTTTATGAGTTATATAGAATTTATGTGGGTGAATGATAATATTTACATTAAAATCATCCAAGCGTTTTTCCATTTATTTTTGTAGTACGCATACTTTAGAAAATGACTTATAAATGTTTCCATCTTCACAGAAACAGTAGCTGCTACATTTTCATTTCCGTTTCAGTCATTAAATTTATAAGGCAATAATATTTAAGAAGAATGAAATCAGAATGTCTCAGTTTTAATCACATACATTTGGGAGCGTTTCTCCATCACAAAGGCAGCTACTGTTTCAGTTAATTCTTATTTTGTGTTAGAATACATAACAGTGAAGTAGATGCACGACTTGTGTATGTATAGTTAAGCCAGCATTTTTCTGTGTATTATGGGGAATAGCAAAATCTACATCATAAATTTTGACACATTACAGCTGAAGGAAGAGGAACACCTTCCAAGACAAAACAGTCTTCATGGGGGAAAAATGACGCTTGTCCAGCAGTTTGCTTCTTGTGATTGAACTGAACCTGTAAGGATTCATGGATAAAATGAACAGGAATAGATCTGAATAAAGCAAATCTGCATAAATGGTAACCAGTAGCTCTACTTTTATTTTTTATGTTGCTTACCTGTTTTATTTGAAGGAAACCTGTGTGATTTAAAAAGTTATAGCTTTTGCAACTTTATTACTGGTTATATACATTTGGCCATTATAATGTGCAAGCAATTGGAAAAAAAACGTCAAGTAAATGCTTGTTTTATAGTAGTTTGTTCTTGTTAAAAATGTTCATACGATAATGTCTGTAAACAGCACCACTTTGATTACAATAGATGTAGTGTTGTAATAAACTGTTTAATGGGGCTGATGTGTAAAGCTGTTCAAGTTATTTGATGTTTACACCTCAGGGAAAGTCTTGTGTTCAGCAATATCTAAAGATAATGTTACTATGACATTTATACTGTCCTTTAAAAAAAAATTGCAATAGCATTTTTGGATATGCATCAATCTAATCTTGCGTTCAGTGAATTAAACATACTAATTAAGTGTCTCTTGCCCTTGATTTTGATATTAGAATAGGTGATTACATGGGTATTTAATATTTCTATATTCTGCTTTTCTAGCTGTTTTTACCTAGTTAAGCTTGTGACTTTGCTGAATGGTATGTAAACTTGTAAAAACTGAAATTTCACAACATAACAACCCAGTCATTGTGTTAGGGGTCAACAAAGATTTTGTGGTTTTAACATTTTAGTAAAAACCCACACGTGATTTGCTACAGTAATGCAGCTTAATTACAACACAGATTTACTGAAACGCTTAATTGTAAACTGCTAGCATTGAAGAAATATTTTGACAGTTCTGATTTGATGCGGCAGTTATTAGCTATTTTATATTGATAGTGCTTATGGTTTATTGTTGAAGCCATGGGCAACGTAAATATAGGCAGCCGTGCAGCAGACAAATGTGAGTAAAGAAAGCCTTAGTTTTATTTTCCAGTTACAGGAAATAGATTTCTGAAGGGTGTGATGTTTAACATTGGGTTGTATTCTCCTATATGTGTAATAGGAGATTATAGGTGTACCGATCTCCACAGTTTAAGGAGTTCTGTGTATTCGTGCAACCTATTAATTCATGCTAAAGTTAACCTAATCAAAGATTTTTTTCAAACCTGCCTTGCATATAAGCCCACATTAAAAGCACCTGGCTAGCATGTGTTCTTAATTGTAAAATTAGCATAGGCAGAGTGTCAATTTGATTAGACATTTTTATAGAAAGTTCATTCTGAATCATTACTTCAGAAATTTGAGTTAAAATCCTTAAGCAAGTTAATATGTTTTTTAATGTTTTTAAAATCTGATTATCTTCGAGAGATCTTCTGATAATACACTTTCTTTTTTTTTTTTTTTTAAATGTATAGCCAAATTTTAGGACGTTGCTTGCTTAGGCACCCTAAATATTATGTAAGTGCAACCTTAGAAGCCCTCCAGAGAACTGCAGTTCTTTACTTTCATGTTGTCCACCATCATACCAGTTCTTGCAGAATTAGCTGTTTTAAATTATCCATATTATTGCCAGCTTTATTTTTAAAACATTTTGTGGTTAGAGTATTTGTGCATGGAATCATTGGTGTTTGTCAGAACTGTTTGCTCTCAGAAATGATTTTTTAAGTGTTCTATCTTGTTGAAAATGCAGTTGCCTTTTTAACATTTGAGAGTTGTATCAAAATCAGTTTTCTTGCTTTGTGTATAGATGTTGTTAGTTTTATTTCTTAGATTTTTTTTATATTACAATGCTGTAATGCGAAGAAGTATGGACATAAATATATTACAAGGGAATTAGTTAATAGTAAGCTTAAAAGGTAAGTAAATGTCCATAAGGATACAATTTTCTCTGAACAATTTAAAAATGGGATCATAAAAATCTTAACTGCTTGAACTTGAAATGAAAACTGGAAATTTTGTACTAATTAAATCCTTCATTTACCTTTTCATTTTTTTTTTTTTTTTTTTATCAGTGAAACCCTTTAATTGCTCATACTATATCACCCTTCTCCCTACTTGGCTGATCTCATTACGTGACTTTTGTTGCAGACAATGTGAGTGTACTAGAATTGTTTGCTGTTAGTGTATTATAAATGTTATCAGAAGGGAATAACTTTCTGATTTGACCAATTTTTGCCAAGTCTTTCTCTATCTGATACATGAATATATAGCAATGAAGGTGAAAATGCAAGCTATGTTTTATTCTTCATATCCCTTTTTTTTTTAATGGGCTGATGTTATTTGAAAAATTTTTTTAAATGTTTAAAAACAATCCAAAGAGATAAATCTCTACATAGACACCAAAAGAAGAGTCCCAGAGATCTTTTCATTTCTTCTTAATAATAATTATAGTGGATATGAAAACAAAACTGAATTTAATTTTAAACCATAGCACTTGTTAGTGCTATGCCATCACATTCCTTTCAGCCAGTAAAGTTATGAATGAGTGATGCAGCACCTGAATGGTATTGCTTTTGAAGCAGTATTTTGAATTGAATGTGCTGCTTTTGGTTAATGGACATAGGTTTTGGAAAGGATATTCCAGTATAAATTTATAAGTGTTTATTTTGTCAATTTTTATAAGCAAGATTCGGAGTAAGTTACAGTGGCTAATGATCATAGTTTAGTCCATTTACCTAGAATATTCTTAAGCAGTTAACTACAATTTGGAGTTCACAAAAAACTTATGGATTGTAGCTTAAGGTATTACTTTCAGTTAATTCTCCTGTGGAGAATATTGCTTTGTTTTCTACTAGTTTAAGGTCAGTTCTTAAAATAAACATGGAGATTTTAATGAATGTTGTATAACATTTTATAGTGAGGGGGAAAAATTGTTGGAAGGGTAAAGACTTTCTTTCCCTTATGTATTTAAATGTGCCAATAACCTAAATACATACTGTTTTATACAATGAGATGCTACTACAAGACTTTGTTGGCGTGCTCTGACATTTTGGTTTTCATACCTGAATGATCATTGCGTTTTCTGTATCTTGTAAGATGGCTTCACTTTTGTGTTTTAAGCTTCAGCTTGTTATTTTAAGAGGAAGTTTATGTTCTGTTTCTTTACTGAGAATACAGTATTGCGATCCTAGCTGTTTCACAGATAACTGCCTTTTAAATTTTATTCATTAAGTTCATTTGCATCCCATAGCCATCTGTAATATTTCCCATAGTTGTATGTACTTTAAGTGCACGCTTACCCATTGTACACATTAGACATTTTTGTGCTAAAATATATTAAGTGGGATTTTTGTAGCAAAGTATTTTTCTGTTTTTACAGTGTGTGTGTGTTGTTTTTTACGTTAACCCTCAGTTTAAACACTGGTGTATTTTATTTTTTAGCAACTTGACTCTTAGAAGCCTTAGACTAATTTTTTAATAAATATTCAACCAAAAATTATAAATTTATTAAGATGTGGCCTTACATATAGCATTCCTTATGTTTGTAATGTGAGATTTTTTGATTTAGAGAACTCAAAAGATTCAGGATTAAAGTATCTTATTGTAAGTTGAAATAGAAAATGTATTAAAATGTCTAAAATGTCTAGGCTTCTGGGAGGAAGTTCTTATACTCTTCTTTCTTGGTATTAGAAAGAAGCAATATGAATTTCTATGAATATTCAAAATATTCAGGCAGTTGTATCTTGTTCAGATTGATTTAGGTTTGTCTTAACCAATTTCTTTAAAATTTCAGGTTGTTGGCATTCACTCTGAGTATGCAGCTACTATGGTTTTTGTATGGGACATATAAACACTTGGTTAGGTATAGACAGATGTTAATGTTTTAAAGACTTCCTGCTATATTAATTAGCATATTGTAATGGAAGTTTTTTAAAATATTAGGTGGAATTTAATTGAAGTCACACAAATCTTGAAATGGTATCTGCAGATAATAAATACTACGGAGAGTTTTTCCTGTGGGAGTATCCTAAAACTCCGCCATGGGTGTAAATGTTTTACATTAATTTCATAATTGGACAGACCCTGCATTTAGTGAAAACATTTCATTTTGAAGATGTGTTCTTTTTGTCTCATTGTTACTGCGTAACACTTCTCAGCATTCTGTAAGTTAAATTATTTTAAAATGGTGAATTCGTGTTTATTTTTTTACTTTGAAAATTGTAGTACTCAGGTGGTATTTAATGGGAAAGGATCCTTTGGGGTAAATCATAATGTATTCTAAGGAATGCATCTATAACATTGACTTTAGCCTTAAAGAAAGGTCTATTATTCCTTCTTCCTCTTCATTCCATGGTATATTAGCAAAGTAGTTTACAGCCTTGTACAGCCTTACAAAGTTGTTTTACAATTTTTAATCGAAAGCCCTTAACAAAAAACTGTATCATATTACCAGTATACATGCATTACTGAACCATGGTTTGTAAATAATTTGACTAATACCAGAAGGCCAAAGAAAGTCTTAAAATTTTAGCTATTGACTCTATGGTGACTTCACAATAAGATTTCTGTGCAAAAGGTAAGGTGATATTTGATCAAATAAACATCTTTTTGGTGTCCCTGAGAACTAGACTTCCATATTCGCTTCTATTAAAAAGCTTATCCCATTTTATTAAAATGTTTGTAATTGCAATTTTGTGTTTAATGTTTACTTTCTTTTCTTTCTTTAGCATTTAGGTGACTGTTCAGCAGTTTGCTATATGGCCATTGTTGGCCTTTAAACTGCACTAGTAATGAGCATGGTATTTATCTTGTATTGAAAATAAAACACAGTTTTTATAATACTTTGCAGTTTGTCTTGTTTGTTTGATTTATAATTTTTTAACCATTGTGTATGGTGTGAATAATTCATATCTAATTGCAATATGCAGTATAACAGAAATTGTACTGTTTGTATTTTATCTTTAAGCCAGCCTCCTAGATACTGGTCATTTTCTTTTGTATTGGCCTTTTGATGGTCTTTAAAGCATATGATATGTGACTAAATTAGGATTTAGAAACCTAAAAGATTTCTAGGCTGCTTTATTTTTAAGTCTAAGATTCAGAAAATGTTTGTCTAATTTTAGAGGATTATTAACCTTACTAGACTTCAATCAAGTAAAAATGTTTCTAGGTTGCAGCAAAAATATTTCATACTAGCTTTGAAGTAATACAGAGTACTTTTTAAACAGTAACAAATTATGATTTCAATAAAGATTTGTGTGCCAGGTGTTAAATCAGGCCCCAGATTTCTCATCTGTATGATTCAGTGTATGTTGAAGGTAGCAATTCTGAACAGTTGAAATAACAATATAAGAAATAAATGACCATTACTAGGATCTCTTTCCGCGACCCCATTAAAATTGTGCTTGAGGTTTTATTAGTTTCCCTAATATTCTTTGTTATATGTTTACATTTTAAAGAGGATTGTGTTCATTGATCCTCACTTGCATTGAGTTAATTGAGCCTCTTGAAGAGTATTTGAAAGAAAAGATTATTGGGAACATCTTTTAATCAGGTGCTACACAAAACTTAATAGGAGTCAGTCAAGGCCTGATTTAGTGAAAGAGGGAGCTTTTTAATAAAGGATTTCTAAGGGAATTCCTTGGCGGTCCAATGCTTGACTCGGCACTTCCACTGCAGGGGCACAGGTTCGATCCCTGGGCAGGGAACTAAGATCCCTGCAAGCTATGTGGTGCGACCAAATAATAATAATAAAGGATTCGTAGACAGAATTTTCCCAGTCTTCTAGTTTTAATTCCAAAAGTAAATGATATTAGAAATAGTTTCCAGTGCTGTCTTGTCTTGTATCTTTGTTTCTCTTTTATATTTCACTAACAGTTCTTGAATTTTCATGTTATATCAATTCCAGTCAGTTGCTATTTTCAGTGTTAGATAAGGAATACATGTATATTTTTTACAAACTTTTCAAAAAACCTATGACTTATAGGAAAACTTGAGAAAATAGTTTACTTCCTTAAGTTACACCGAGTCCTGAAGAAGGAATAAGATTTAACTTGGGGAAAAGGGAAGGGGAGTACCTTCTAGGCAAAGGGAGGTTTGCACAAAAGACCTTTTGGTATGAGGGAGCATATTAGGAAGAATACTGATTTGACTGAAGTAGGGAATGAAGAACATGGCCTGTGTGTGGGGCTCAAGAAACAGACAAGGACCAAGACTCTGCAGGGCTTGTAAATCACACTAAAGATTGTCCCAGGAATGATGTGGCATCACTGAAGTGTGTGTAGTGTCAAAGCATTTCTGAAAGCTTGGCTGCACATTAAATCAGGTAGAGAATAGATGAGGTAAACCAGTGAAACTATTGCAAGAGTCTTTGACTAGAGAGATAGTGGGAATAATAGTGGTAGAGAAAAGTTGATTTGGTGAAAGACTTGAGACAAAACTGGTAATCGAAAGTTTGGAAGGATGATGTTTAGAACTTAGTGGTAGGTATGTCATTGCCTGAGATGGGAAACACTGGAAAAAGATAGACACTGAATTTAATGCCTTTGAGATCCAAGAAATAGCAAGTAGTCATGTATTCAATAGTTATATGGTTTTGGAGTTTAGAAGACATGTGGATTAAAGCCATAACTTTGTAGTAACAATTAAAATAGAGAAGAAACTAAATAATGGGGAGAGTCTTCATCATTTTTTCAATTTAATGGCTGTCAACCCAGCTGCAGAATAGAATCACCCATGCCCTCATTGTTTTTTTGGGGGTGGGGGGGGTGCCATCAGGATTCATTACATGTTTGATTTTTTATATTCCACATATAAATGATATCATAGGGTACTTGTCTGGCTTATTTTACTTAGCATATGCTCAAGGTCCATCCATGAGCATTTTTAAAAAATTGCTGTTGTACCTATTATCTCGATAGAGTTTCTTACCCTGTCGAATACGCAAGGTGGTTTTTTCCTTTTACAAGTGAGCCAACAGGCTCTGAGGGGTTATGGCTAGCAGAATGGTGAGTTGAAGTTAGAGTAGGTTTATGACTGCAAATCCACACAGCTTGTGTGCTGAATGGTTATCAAACTAAGCCCCCACTGCTGTTAAGTGCTAAATTAAAAAGCTTTATTGATAGCTGTAAGCATTTAGGAGTATATTACTTTAAAATGTTCATTTCTGGGACTTCCCTGGCCGGCCAGTGCTTGGGACTGTGCTGTTCCAACCCGGAGGGGGGGAGGGGGGAGGTGCAGGGTTTAGACCCCTGGTCAGGGAGCTAAGATCCCACATGCTGTGCAGTGTGGCCAAACAAAACAAAACAAAAAATGTTCATTTCCACAAATACTGAACATACCTGTTCTGTAAAATATACTGTGCTGTATAGGACGGACCATAGCAACTCAGTTGTATCTCGTTATTTTTATTTTTAAAAATTTCATATTAATAGTTGTACAGGTTCCACCGACATAATTCCTGTAGCTGTCCTATTAGATATAAGATCAATGAGTAACATTTGTGGAAATGTTAATTTAACATTGTGGGAAAATTTGGCATTGACTCAGGAATTGGGCCGCACCCCATTGCAGTATAGAAACTCGAGTATCACTGTGTACCACTTTAGTTCTTTTCCCCCTGAAACTGGTAAGTCATTTTACATTACTCTTTCTTCAGCTTTTCCCAAGTAAGGGAGAAAATGAAAACAAAATGCTGGAATCTAACTAAGCATCTAACTTAGCCTAAGAACATGCTCATTTTATTAGAAAGTGATTTGCAGACTGAAGACTGGAGCTAATTGTTATTTGCTGAATTTAGTGATGACTGGCTTTTCACAGTTAATAATAGTATATCCATTGTAAAGATTTGTTGAAATCATTTTTATGCATCTCAGAAATTGTTTCAGGATGGCTGGCAGCCAACATGCTGTGTATATCTACACACCGGGAAACTGCCTACCTGTAAACTTCTGTGGTAATCAGTTTTATGTTGTCCTTGGCTTTCTAAATGATCTGAGTATGTAGATGAACACTAAAGGGAGGAGGGAGATAAATGGCACAACTCCTCACCCCTGGGTGAGATGACCTGAAGGTACCTTTTACCAGTTGTTTCACATGCTTACGTGAATGTTGAGGATGGAACATGCCTTCTTATTAGAAGTTGATCAGTTCAACATAAATAGATAAAATGGGGTCATAAATGAAGATTTTTAATTTAAAATTTTATTATTCCTTACATCCTTCTTAGTCTTCTGTTTCTCTTCCCTAACCTTTGAATTGTGGGGTACTCCCAGGAGGCTTAGCCCCCCTGCATTCCTTGGTCCTCTTTACCTGTCTCATGGCTCTAAGTATTAATATGCTGTCAGTTTCTAAATTTATATTTCTGATTCAGACCTTTTTCTCAAACTGGAGATTTAAGTGTCTACCGACATCTCTACTTGAATATCAAACAGGCATCCCAAACATAACATGCCAAGGTTGAATTCTTTCATCCTCACCCATTCCCCACCACCTGCTCAGCCCACAGTCGTCCCTAACAGCTAACATCAACATCATTTCAAATGCTTAGGGTCAAAACCTGAAATTATTGACTCTTCTCACACCCCATATCCAGTACATCAGGAAATCTTGTCCACCACAGAAAATACCTAGAATCTGACAGCCCATTACTGCTTGCACTGCGCTCATTCTTTGCCTGTATTACTGCAGTGATTCCTAACAGCTCTCTGTGCTTTCCACTCCTGCCTCCCTGCAGTTTGTTCTTAGCACAGCTGTCAGAGCTTCTGTCGTTTCTGTTCAGAATCCTGCTATGGCTCCCCATTTGTACTAGAGTAAAACTCCAGTCCTTAAAAGGTTCCTCCATAATTTGGCTCCTATTACCTGTCTAACCAGACCTCCCAGTACCCTTCCCCATGCTCGCTGCATTCCAGCCATTCTCGCCTCCTTTTTTGGCCTTGCCACGTGGCTTGTGAGATCTTAGTTCCCCCACCAGGGGTTGAACCTGGGCCCTTGGCAGTGAGAACTCAAGAGTCCTAACCACTGAACAGCCAGGGAATTCCCCTGGCCTTTTTCAAACAGTCCAGGCATATTCCTCTCTCTTAGCCTTCGTATGGGCCGTTTTCCTTGCTTGGAATGCTTTGGATATCTGCATGACAGTATCATTTTAATGAGATTTATTTTCACCTTTCTATTGAAGAATGGAACTCAATATCTCCCTTAGTTCTGCTTTATTTTTCTATGTGTTTCCTAACATAATATATGTTGTTACCTAGCACAAGATGTTATCTTTGTTGTCTGTTTGACTATCAGGCACATGAAAGCGTATATCTTGTAAGTCCCAAGTGCCTACATAAGGGTATGGCACATAGATGTTCAGTGAATAATGAATGAATGTCCTTAAGGTTTAGGTCTACCACGTTATCCTGTTAGCTTATGCTTATGGTAGTACAGTTGTAAGAGCTAATTCAGCATCTTTCAAATTGTATATAACAAAAATTGCCATTTAAACCATTTTAAATATACATTTTAGTGGCATTAAGTACATTCACAATGTGCAGCCATTACCACTATACATTCTAGAACATCCTAAACAAATTCTGTACCCACTAAACAGTAACTCCCCATTCCTGTCCCACTTCTAGCCCCTGTAGCCTGGCAACCTCTACTGTACTTTCTATGAATTTGTGTGTCCTAGGTACATTATATGAGTAAAATTACACAATATTTGGTCCTATGTGCTGGCTTATTTCACTTAGCGTAATGTTTTCAAAATGCACATTGTAGCATGTGTTAGAATTTCATTACTTTTAAGAGTGAATATTCCATTGTATGTATATAGCACATTTTGTTTATCGATTTGTCA